AAATATTTTTTGATTTCAATATAAAAAATAAGGGTATAGTTTTTCGGTATAGAACAATCCTAGGGATGAGGGCATAAAAATTCCGACTTTACTTTTTCACATGCATTTTTGGACCACCCTAATGTACATACATATGTACGTTTGTATATTCCGCTTGTTGATTGTTTGGCATTTCAACGCAATCGTTTTTAATCAACAAACATGTGTTTTATAGTGGTTAGATTAATGAGCGTACAATCCCAAAATTTCCCATAATTGCACAGAATATTCCTAAACTTAGTAAAGTACATACACATGTAAATACATGCATTCACTAATAACAATATAATATATTGACACGATTTCCGCTACGTCTCTCAATTCTCTAAGAGATTTATTGTTTTTTTTTTCATTTATTAAAATTGTTTTTGGTCTTTATTTAAAAAGCAATCTGCTAATTCTCATTCATTGTGCACCCATTTTTTTTTTGTTAACGCCAAGCAGCATTTGTTATACATACATACATACATACATACATAGCAATCTTGCGTATTTTGGAAATGGAAAAAAATACCATAAGACGTGAATTATTGGCCAGCTTTCGTAGCTATGAACAAGGAAAGTATGTATCATTTTGTACAGTACTTTATACAATTAGGGGATTCACAAGACGTGTTAACCGTCGTAAAATCTTAAGGTTAACATCTTTTTTAATTAAAATGGTTTTAGGGGATTTCTAACTAAACCGAAATTCTTTTAAACTGATAAAGAATATATAATTAGCCAACCCCCCAACCATTTTAACCGCTATTTTACATAAACAAGTGTTAAGCTTAAGATTTTACGACGGTTAACACGTCTTGTGAATCCCCTAAATATAAATATTTATGTAAAATTTCTTCTTTTACACAAATTTTGGTATGTTTTGGTGTTCGAGCTCCAAAGATATTTTCGGCAATAACTTGCGGGTGATTCCCCTTGCAAAAGGTTTTATCTGAACGCGTTTCCTATATTTTTTTGGAAAAGAAAAAAACACTGAGCCCACATAACTTATTATGTTTAGTTGTCAGCAGTTGTGACAGTTTTGTGTGATTTTTATGCTGGCAATGACAATGGTTCACGCCTCCTATAAAATATCACAATCTCAGGAGGGCGCTAACTGACTCACACAATTGTGAGGAGGCGATAAATTATATGTATACATAAGTACATTTGGAGGTTTATGTATTTGAGTTTACCTCACAAATAACTCGTTGAAATAAACCAAACAAGCGAATAGTATTTAATAAATTTTTATTTACTAAAAGATTGCCTAGATTTCAAAAGGATAATTTTAAGTTAGTGATTCCCGTTTATATTCAGGCAAGCACGTCTAAATCCGATGATATTCAGAAAAAGAAGGGCGGATGAACAATTAGAGTGATGTCAGATTGATTCTTAAAAAATTTGCGCAGGGTTGCATTTAGTAGCGAAAGTCAAATTGTTGCCACAAAGTTCGCGAAGGTACAAATGCCGCCACATACATATACTATAGGCCTTAGGGCTTTATCCTGCGCTAGTAAATTGAAAGCATCCCATTTGACAGTAAACTCAATAACTGCTCTGCTGCAACTAAAGCAGCATTATTTCTTGGTGAAGTATCAGATGTCAAAATTCCTTGGACACACACGCGAAATAATAGAAATTTTTTTTCTGAGAGCTGCATACTGGCTTTGAACAAAAAGTTCTTGCAAATAATGCTGTCATTGTTATTAAACGAATTTCATTTTTTTTT